ATGCGTCTGTGGGGTCGACCGCTGGGTGTAATGGACTTGAGTCGAGGACGGGTTGAAATGCTTCACCCACGTACTACAAATTTCAGCCCGTCCTCCAAACAAAGATCCAAAAGTGAGTCGGCACATTTCCTGGCTATGAATTTCATCGACTAATTCCCTCTTCCCCTGAACATTCTGCAGATAGGTCCTTACTCTCCTTTAGCTCCAATGTATTACACACACAAATCACAATAGCGTGATGCATCAAATGAACACATCCACAAGGGCCGTGACGAGGGTTCGAACTTACGTCCGAGAGCATCCCAGACGCTGCCTTAATCGACTGAGCTACGACATGGTTAAAAGAATTGCAACCAGAAATTCTACTGAACTTACTTGGATCCTGCAGCCTCTCCGAGACACAAACCAGGATTTTACACAATTCCCCCCATGCACCGAGCTCTGTCAACAAGCCGTTCTACCTCTTCGCCCTTACTTCATTACACACACAAATCACCGTGGATTTGAAGGAACCATGTCGTAGCTCAGTCGATTAAGGCAGCGCCTGGGATGCTCTCGGACGTAGGTTCGAACCCTCGTCACGGCCCTTGTGGATTTTCTCCAATGTATACCTTAGTACACCAAGGAAGTGGTCGCTAGCTCCTAGGAGCACCTCGACTCCAATCTCCTCGGCATGTGCCTCAGTTTGTATAAAGGTCAGATATAGAGGTGTTGCTAGTGGGTCTTCTCTCATTACTCTTATTGGTTGTGGGAGGTGTTGCCTCAAGGAGTGTCGGTCAGGGGGGGGGGGGAAGGGGGGGTGTCCACCAGCTTTGTTCCCCATGTCTCATTACCCCCCCCCCCCCGTGGGGGGTCCTTCCTTGTCCAGCCTGTGTCCCTCTCAGTACAACGCTAGAGTATTATAATCTTAGCCCTAGCTCTCCTCCCCAGTGGTGGTGTCTGGTGGTGCCAGGGGTGGTGTCTGGTGGTGCCAGGGGTGGGTGCCTGGTGGTGCCAGTGGTGGTGCCAGGGGTGGTGCCAGTGGGGCAGGCAACACCTCCGACTAAATGTTTACTGAGAAGAGTGATACACGCGGCCCCGCCATCACCCAACTTCCAACAACCAAAAATGTTACAAAGTTTTACCGACACCATTTGAGGTTGGCCAAGAGCACTTAGTGTGACTAAACGGCAGCAAGGTTGTGTTAATGTGGCCGTCCCCACATCCCACCAACTGTCCTCTCAAGATCCTCTTGTCGTGTTTACCACACAATTTTACACTTAGTGGCAAAGAAGGCGACTCTGTGTCAGGGGGAAGGATTGACTCACACCAACCACTCACACCAACCACAATGTCCACCAACACTCCCAACTCCACTCACCCACCAACGTGTCCGCACGCACATACGCAGGCGGGACCAAAGAGCCAAAGCTCAATCCCCGCAACCACAAATAGGCGAGTACACACAAAGAGAACAAAGAGGGACTACACGGGACCAAAGAGCCAGAGCTCAACCCCCGCAAGCACAATTAGGTGAGTACATACGCACACACACACGCCCCCCCCCCCTCAGACACACACACGCGCGCGCGCACACACGCGCACGCGCACACACACACACACACACACACACACACACACACACACACACACACACACACACACACACACACACACACACACACACCATGGAAAGATAGACTGGGAGGACAAAGAACTACCTGCGAGGGCAGAAACCTGGAGAGCTAAACTACTACTATATGTGTCAAGCAGAAGGTGTTCAAGCCAGCATATCTGGGCACCCACAACAATGGAGGCAACCACCAACCAGCCACACTTGACCTCCTCGTATTCACTTTGAACTATTCACACATAAGGGAAATCAGCCTTGAAGCTCCCGTTACAATGAGTGATCACAGTGTACTGATGTTTGAGTATCTGGTGGAAGTAGGGATAACTTACTCAAGGAAGGGACCAGAAAACTAGAGGCTGCCATTCCGAAAGAGAAACTACGAAAAGATAAGACAATGCCTAGCAGATATAGCATGGGAAACTGAGCTCAGAGAAAAGACAGCCCAAGACATGACAGCCAAATGAAAAACAATTATAATTCCAATGAGGAGCCTATGGTGTAATCAGCAGTGTAAGCTGGCAAAGCAACTAAGTACAAGGGCATGTAGAAACTGCAGAAATAACAGGACACCAGAGAACAGAGGAAGATACCAAAGGGCCAGGAATACCAACTGCGTGAGAAGAGGCACAGAAGGTATGAAAATGACAGCAAATAAGGCAAAGATCAAACCAAACCGCTGCACATCCGAAGGAAAACAGTGAAGGAGAAGATAATGAAACAGATGATAGGGGCAGAGATGTTCACTACAAATGACAAGGAAGTGTGCGAGGAACTCAATAAGAAATTCCAGGAAATCTCACAGTAGAGCAAGGAGAAGTTCCTGAACTAAGGAGAGGGAATAGCTAACCAGGCACCATGAAGGAGTTTGAGATTACCAATGGGGAGGTAAGGAAGCATTTGCTTGAATTGGATGTGGCAAAGGCTGTAGACCCAGACGGAATCTCACTATGGATACTAAAAGAGGGAGAAGAACTATGCCTACCACTCATTGGTGTATAGTAAGTCACTGACAACAGGAGAGCTGTCAAAAACTTAAAAGACGGCAAATGTAGTCCCGATATACAAGAAGGGAGAAAGACCGGAGGCACTGAACTACATGACAGTGTCCCTAACTTGCATACCATGCAAGGTGATGGAGAAGATTGTGAGAAAAAACTAGTAAATATCTAGAGAGGAAAACTTTGTAACACATCGCCAGCATGGGTCCAGGGATGGCTAATCTTGTCTTACAGGTTTAATAGAATTCTATTAATTAGCCAAAAATTAGCAAAAATGAGAAGGGTGGGCAGACTGCATACTTTTTTGGATTGCCTGAAAGCCTTTGACAAACTACCCCATAAAAGAATAGTGCATAAGCTGGAGATGCTGGTAGGAATAGAGGTACTCCCATAGTTAAAGGCATACCTAAGCAACAGAAGACAGCAGCGAGTCACACAAGTAAGGTTTCAGAATGGCGAGACGTCACTAGTGGAGTACCACAGGGTTCAGTCCTTGGACCTATACTGTGTCTGATGTATGTAAACGATCTCCCGGAAAGAAAACACTCGTTCCTCTTAATATTTGCTGATGATTTGAAAAATATGAGGGCGATTAGGACAGAAGGATAACAAGAGGCTTCAAGATGACCTAAAGAAACTTAAGGAATGGCCCAACAAATGGGTACTAGAGTTGAACTCAAGTAAATGTAAAGTAATGAAGCTAGGTGGAGGGAACAGAAGGCGACACAAGGTACCAAATGGAAGACGAAGCCCTCCATGAAAGGGAAAGAGAGAAGGATCTAGGAGTTGATATCACACCGAACCTGTCTCCTAAAGCCCACATCAAAAGGATATCACCAACGGCATATGCAAGGCTGGCTAACATCAGAACTGCCTTTGGAAATTTGTCAGTAGACTAGTTCTTTAGTCACTAGACTAGTTCCAGAACAACGACGTATGAGTTATGAGGAAAGGCTGCGTGAAATGCACCTCACGTCGCTGGAAGACAGAAATTTGTGGAGACATAAGTACCACATACAAAATACTCAAGGAAATTAACAGGGTAGATAAAGACGGATTATTTAACACGGGTGGTACTCGCACAAGGGAACATAGGTGGAATATGAGTACGCAAATTAGCCACAGACACATTAGAAAGAACTTTTTCAGTGTCAAGAGTAGTTAACAGATGGAATGCACTAGGAAGTGATGTGGTGGAGGCTGACTCCATACACAGTTTCAAATGTAGATATGATAGAGCCCAGTAGGCTCAGGAACCTGTACACCAGTTGATTGACAGATGTGAGACGGGACCAAAAAGCCAGAGCTCAACCCCCGCAAGCACAACTAGGTGAGTATACACATACATACACACACACACACATTAGAGACCAACAAAGGGAGTAACAAAGGGAGACTAGAAATAAGAAGCCGGAAATTCTCCATAATATTTGGTTGAATGAAACAATCAGTGAAATATAATATAACTGTAAGCTTGGAAAATCTCAGAATATGACTAAGCAACACAGAAGTTACAGATGATGAGATGAAGAAACCCGAGAGACAACACGTACTAGCTGCAAGTAAGCAGGAGGAGTGTCTCTCATGAATGTTAAAGAACGCAGCTGAAGATGGAAAACCTCTTTCATTGGAGGGAGAGAGAGTTACCAGACAGCTGGAAGACAGCTCATCAACTCATACCATACTACACGCAGGGTGGCAGACAAGAGGTACTAAACCACAGGTCACTATCATTGACATGTACACATAAAGTTCCAGAAAAACTAATCTGATTAGTTTATCTAGGTACACTAGCATCCTCATGAAAGTGGTACACTAACCCTCCCCTAAGTAAGTGGTACACTAACCCTCCCCTAAGTAAGTGGTACACTAACCCTCCCCTAAGTAAGTGGTACACTAACCCTCCCCTAAGTAAGTGGTACACTAACCCTCCCCTAAGTAAGTGGTACACTAACCCTCCCCTAAGTAAGTGGTACACTAACCCACCCCTAAGTAAGTGGTACACAACCCCTCCCCTAAGTAAGTGGTACACTAACCCTCCCCTAAGTAAGTGGTACACTAACCCTCCCCACTAACCCTCCCCTAAGTAAGTGGTACACTAACCACCTACTGATCCAGAGGAACCTCCCCACTCCCTGATGTGATGATCTTCCCACCTGATGCGAAGACCATTTCCCCTTCATCCTCATATCAGGGGGAAGATCCCCATAATTACCTTAACTTACTTTACCTAGTGTGTGTGAAGATCTTCCCCCTGATATGAAGATCTTTACCCCCTAGTGTGACGACCCCTCCACCTTCCCCCCCTCCTAGTGTGACGACCCCTCCCCCTCCCCCCTAGTGTGACGACCCCTCCCCCCTAGTGTGACGACCCCCCCCTAGTGACTTACCCGTCGTGGTCGAAGTCGTCGTCGTCGTCGTCCTCTATCATGAAGGTAACTTTGGTATGGGAGTCGGCGTGGGCGGCCCGGGCGGCCTGCCCCACGCCGATATCACAGACACAGCTTTGGTTGTTGCCACGCCCACCTCGGCCCACCTCCGCCTCGTGGGTGTGGGCGTAGTGGGCGGTGGGCGTCACCAGCACCACCACCTGGGTGCTGGGCCCCGGGGTGGGCGGCCCAGAGCCCCCCGGTTGAGACGGCGAGAGCGGCGAGAAGCCTGCAGGGTCGCCGCCTGCGGCCTGATGATGATGTGGGTGCGGCGGCGGCGCGTCGTGGCCTGCGGCAGCGTCGCCGTCGCCTGCGTCACACTCGCACCCGCTGTCCATGCTAGACTGCGACCGCACCAGCTTGGGCGTGTCGGCCTGGTCGGGCACGTGCAGCGTGTCCAGGTGCGGCCCCCGCACCCACGTGTCCGGCGGCCAGGCATGCGGCACCTGGGCGTCCGGGGGCCAGGGCTGCGGCACCTGGGCTCCGGCAGTGTGGGCGGAGGTGGGGGCTGGCCACACAGCAGGGGTCCCGCCCACGCCAGGGTGGCGATCGGGGGAACAGTCTCCTGGAGACAGGGAGTCACCGCCCCCCAGCAGCGGAGCGTCCTCAGCCTGTCCCTCAGCCATCCTCTCCCACCATCACACCTGCAACAACAAGTGTTCTCATTAGTACCTGTAGCAGGGACAAGTGTTCTCATTAGTACCTGTAGCAGGGACAAGTGTTCTCATTAGTACCTGTAGCAGGGACAAGTGCTCTCATTAGTACCTGTAGCAGGGACAAGTGCTCTCATTAGTACCTGTAGCAGGGACAAGTGCTCTCATTAGTACCTGTAGCAGGGACAAGTGCTCTCATTAGTACCTGTAGCAGGGACAAGTGCTCTCATTAGTACCTGTAGCAGGGACAAGTGTGGTCATTAGTACCTGTAACAGGGACAAGTGCTCTCATTAGTACCTGTAGCAGGGACAAGTGTGGTCATTAGTACCTGTAGCAGGGACAAGTGCTCTCATTAGTACCTGTAGCAGGGACAAGTGTGGTGATTAGTACCTGTAACAGGGACAAGTGCTCTCATTAGTACCTGTAGCAGGGACAAGTGTGGTCATTAGTACCTGTAACAAGGACAAGTGCGCTCATTAGTACCTGTAGCAGGGACAAGTGTGGTCATTAGTACCTGTAACAAGGACAAGTGCGCTCATTAGTACCTGTAAGTGAGTCAAGTGTGGTCATTAGTACACACCAACAACCACCATTAAGCCAACAAAGAACAAACACCACCTCCCCGCCCCAGTAAACAACCAACGCTTCACCCATGAACCCATTACCAAGCAGGGAGCCACCAACGCTCGCCTTCTACACGGTGAAGGCGCTCAAAAGAACATTCCTCCTAAGGTAACGTATCCCCTAGTGACTAAGGGATACGTACATAAGACGTGTAAAGGGGGGAAATGTATATGTTTCTCTCTCAGAATGTTCGGTAATACGTTTATTGCTTGTGATGTGTGTATATGTATGTATTAACACGATGTACTGAACGGGGTGAGAATAGCTTGAGCTACCTCATTCCTTTGTGTGTATTTTACCTCAATAAACTTATTTCAATTTCAATTTACACAAGACCCTTCCACAAAGCTCTTTTCCCCGATTGTCAAAACCCTTATATCTCGTCAGGTCAGGTCAGGCTGCGTTAGGCTCGGTTGGGTTTGGTAAAGTTCGGGAACGGCAGGAAATTTCAAATTCGAAATTTCAAAAGGCTTTCAAGTTCGTTCGCAAACGTCTTGTGTGTGATGCGACTTGTATCCGCCACGAGGTGCGTTTGTGTGTTCGTGGGCGGCGCGTGTCCCCGTGATGGCCGGAGCCTTAAAGCTGGCCAGCTGGGGCCCGCCGCCACCCCCATGAAAACACCATGCGTACACAACCCACCCGCTGGCTCTCCTGCGACAGTTCGGGGTCAACCAAACCCCCCAATTCCTGGTTGCTGGCGTCTTGCAAGATTATATCGTTGCAGGATGCATGTGACAACAACACAGCGCGCTGACGTAAATGGCAGACTTGCAGCGCTGCTTCCTCCTTTGACCCCCCCCCCTTCTGTGCCTCCTTTAATATGAGTCATTCAATTAAGTTTTATCTTAAAAGATAAATACATTTTCTTTGTCTTCTTAAGTTTCCCTTCTTTCGCTCTACAATGACGTTTGAAAAAAATATATTTGGAAAACCCATTTAAAACCTGAGGAGGGGGGGGAGGGGTGGATCTGCTGCATGGGTAACAGCTTCTCATCTATATCGACCTACCCGGGCTTTGCGCCCTAAAGAGGACACTTTTGCCTCGACAACTCGAGCTCAACTCCATAGTCTCCCGAGACTGCAGGATGCCTGCTACTACTACTACTACAACTACTACTACAACTCCCACAACTACGACTACAAACAACTACAACTACTATTAATAACAATACATGCTAAACAGCAATATGGCCACTACTAGTGTTGCCGCACCACCGTCCTACAGTTCCAAATTAAAAATAACTTATGCTTTGTATAGTAATCGTTAGGAAGAGGTGGGGCGGAGGAGTGTAAGGTAGTGTGTTCTGGACTGTAGGGCTCAGGCATGTCAAACTGTGGGTCCTCCCCCGAGGGCCATGTGGGCCACATTTGTGTTGTCATGAGGGCCACACACCACAACTGAGGGTCCCCGAGGGCCATGTGGGCCACATTTGTATTGTCATGAGGGCCACACACCACAACTGAGGGGCCCCCGAGGGCCATGTGGGCCACATTTGTGTTGTCGTGAGGGCCACACACCACAACTGAGGGCCCCCGAGGGCCATGTGGGCCACATTTGTGTTGTCATGAGGGCCACACACAACTAATTGAAGTCATTTAATACAAATTATTGCAGAATATTTATATTAAACTTAGAAACATACAATGTGCAGTGTGCATACAAATAGTTTAGCGGACGGCCACATTCATGAGTGCAAAGTAATGAAGTAGTTTAACAAAAGAAAAAACTAAATTTTAAACTGCAACATAGACTTCTATGCAACAACAACAAATACATTGCACAGATTACAATAGTTCAAAATGAACATTTATTTACGACTATTCTATCATTATTAGTGTTTTGGCCTGAGGCTTGACACCTCTTTTTAATTATAATTTTTGATATGTCTGGCTGAAATGTCTGAGCAGCTCCCTCTTTGATCAGACATGACAAGTGTTGATCAGCCAAGACAAGCGCTGATCAGCCGTGACAAGCGCTGATCAGCCAAGACAAGCGCTGATCAGCCGTGACAAGCGTTGATCAGCCGTGACAAGCGTTGATCAGCCGTGACAAGCGTTGATCAGCCGTGACAAGCGTTGATCAGCCGTGACAAGCGTTGATCAGCCGTGACAAGCGTTGATCAGCCGTGACAAGCGTTGATCAGCCGTGACAAGCGTTGATCAGCCGTGACAAGCGTTGACAAGCGTTGATCAGCCATGACAAGCGTTGATCAGCCATGACAAGCGTTGATCAGCCATGACAAGCGTTGATCAGCCATGACAAGCGTTGATCAGCCATGACAAGCGTTGATCAGCCATGACAAGCGTTGATCAGCCATGACAAGCGTTGATCAGCCATGACAAGCGTTGATCAGCCATGACAAGCGTTGATCAGCCATGACAAGCGTTGATCAGTCATGACAAGCGTTGATCAGCCATGACAAGCGTTGATCAGCCATGACAAGCGTTGATCAGCCATGACAAGCGTTGATCAGCCATGACAAGCGTTGATCAGCCATGACAAGCGTTGATCAGCCATGACAAGCGTTGATCAGCCATGACAAGCGTTGATCAGTCAGCCTTGTTCTCTGATAAGGTTTTGTTGATTTCATCAAGGAAAATAACTGTTTACACACACAGGTAGAACCGAACATTGCCCTAATCCTTGTGGCAAACTTTCTGAAGTTTTTAAACTTTTCAGGAAGGTAGGAAAGGAAACCCAGGTATCCCCACTTCAAGATACTTTGCTCTGAGTGAAGAATCCGTCATGTATATTTTTAGAAGTCTTAAGTCGCTTGCTTCACAGCTGTATTCGTCTCTTGTGTGCCTTTGAAATCTATTAAAAGGTGAGAGTTTCAATTAAAAAAAAATGCAATTTTGGCCCTTAAATGACAGAATCCTTTGTGCAGGTCGGATGGTCTCCTACAAACACACCGCCCACACGGATGGTCTCCTACACGTACAACACCCACACGGATGGTCTCCTACACGCACACACCACCCACACGGATGGTCTCCTACACGCACACACCACCCACACGGATGGTCTCCTACACGCCCAAACCACCCACACGGATGGTCTCCTACACGCACACACCACCCACACGGATGGTCTCCTACACGCACACACCACCCACACGGATGGTCTCCTACACGCACACACCACCCACACGGATGGTCTCCTACACGCACACACCACCCACACGGATGGTCTCCTACACGCACACACCACCCACACGGATGGTCTCCTACACGCACACACCACCCACACGGAGGGTCTCCGACACCCACACACCACCCACACGGATGGTCTCCTACACGCACACACCACCCACACGGATGGTCTCCTACACCAACACCCACACGGATGGTCTCCTACACGCACACACCACCCACACGGATGGTCTCCTACACGCACACACCACCCACACGGATGGTCTCCTACACGCACACACCACCCACACGGATGGTCTCCTACACGCACACACCACCCACACGGATGGTCTCCTACACGCACACACCACCCACACGGATGGTCTCCTACACGCACACACCACCCACACGGATGGTCTCCTACACGCACACACCACCCACACGGATGGTCTCCTACACGCACACACCACCCACACGGATGGTCTCCTACACGCACACACCACCCACACGGATGGTCTCCTACACGCACACACCACCCACACGGATGGTCTCCTACACGCACACACCACCCACACGGATGGTCTCCTACACGCACACACCACCCACACGGATGGTCTCCTACACGCACACACCACCCACACGGATGGTCTCCTACACGCACACACCACCCACACGGATGGTCTCCTACACGCACACACCACCCACACGGATGGTCTCCTACACGCACACACCACCCACACGGATGGTCTCCTACACGCACACACCACCCACACGGATGGTCTCCTACACGCACACACCACCCACACGGATGGTCTCCTACACGCACACACCACCCACACGGATGGTCTCCTACACGCACACACCACCCACACGGATGGTCTCCTACACGCACACACCACCCACACGGATGGTCTCCTACACACACACCGCCCACACGGATGGTCTCCTACACACACACCGCCCACCAACATTACCGATAAACCAATGAAGACATTGATGAAGACATTGATGTCTTCATCAATGTCTTCAGTTACAAGGTCTCCCGCCTTAAGCTTCCACCTAGAGCAACGTTGAGCAGACACCCGAGCCAGGAGACATTAAAATTTACAAAAAAACCCTTGCGAAACATCTACATCTTTTCCTCAATCATGGCGGCTTTGTTTACATTTAGTAAACTGTGTACCAGCTTCCAGTCTTAACCCGAGGTTCAGTGTTATTGTAAACTACCTAAAGT